TGTTGTTTTTGTTTTTGTTGTTGGGTTGGGGGGGGGGGGGGGGGTTTAAACACAGAAGCACTGTTCCAACTAAGTCCTGAAGTTTGCAATTTGTTTTATACAGCTTCAAGAGATATTTAATCAAATGACTGACTTCCAAGAACAGCATGCATCATTTTAACTACAATGTCTGTCAGCCTGCTTTGGAAATATGGCTTTTGTTTTCCTCCTCTGTTGCTCTAAAAGTTCTTATGTCTCAGTAAATTTTAATCAGGAAATAGCATCCCAGCTCTTAAACTCTGGGAGCAAGTTTTCATCCTGATCCAACCAGACAAGTAGGAGATTTGTTCACATATTTGAGAAGAAAAATGTTTTCTGCTAATTCAGTGAATTGCGTTCCAGAGCTGTTGTGTTGTGCCCTTACTGAACAAAACTCTTTGCTATGACTTCATGCTAAGCCAAACACTCTCGCCTTTTTATACGGACAGCTCTATCCCAAAGTACCAACATTAGCATCAGTGGTGACAGAGAAAAAGCTATATTCCCCCAACAAGAGGGAAGGAAGGGGAAAAAAAAAAAACAAACAAACAAAAAAACAAACTACACACACAAAAACCCAAACCCACAAACATTGTTCAACCAAACACATGCGTCTGCAAAATGCAAGCATTAATGTACTTCCTAGAAATTAGTCAAGCTGTGCTCTCGCGTATCACCTGAGAGCGGGACAGTATGAATTCCACAATGGCACTTTGTAAGACAAAAACCACCATATATTCCATGATTAAAAGATTTCTTCCACAAATACCTGCAGTTTAAAACTTACCAAGCACTTTTGCAGCATGCAGAAGTTTGTTAACCAAAACATCACATACAACACCCGCGCAATTTTTGGAACATTCTTTTCTAAAGCCAGCTCAACCGAAAGAGGTGCTAACATGAATAGAGGAGACATTGCACTCAAAAACAATTTTTACTTTATTATGTTCTCATCTTTGGTGCATATATTTATGTTCCCTAGCTTCAACGGTCTCTCTGATCACTTTTAAAAAGGACTTTCAAAATAGTAAGACTAAACACCATCAAGGACTTACCAGATTGGAATTGGTGGCATTGGAATCATCTTCTGGAAAGGGGATATAGATAGCTAAGGCCACACAATTGGCAAAAATAGTCAGTAAAATAATTATTTCAAATGGTCTGAGGAATGGAGTTAAGGAAATTGTTCCAAAATGTGCACACACAAATAAAAAAGAAGATTTATAAGAATTCTGTTTAAAGAAAACATTCCAAGCCCCTTATATTCTGAAAAGAAACATATGCCTTTTTAAGTGCTTTTAGGAACTCCCAGCCAAGAATCTTCCTAATATGTCAAAAGCAGTGTAGGCCAGTCGCGTGCCAGAGTAAACACAGATTTCTTAAAAGTTTTTTCTTCTTTTATTTATTTAGATTGCATTTTCCCTATTTTCTTTCAAGTGTGGCTGTACTATTTTTAATAACAGAAGCCTGTTCTAGAAGGACTGTCATCTTTCCTCTTACGATTAGTTTCTCTCGGTCTTTTCCATCTTCATTTACAAACCCTGAAATAGTTTTAGCAAAAGTTTTTTTGGGGGGTTCTCAATCTCTCTCTCATATCTCAAAATTAAATGCAAGGGCTCAAGAAACACATGCATACCTTCAGTTAGAAGACATTCAAATGATGATAAAGTTTGTTAAGGCAAAAAAAATGGCTTTGTCCAAAATGTGCTTATACTGCACATTGTCATGTATACTTGTTTTGCTTAAAAATTATTTGAGTGAGTATTTCTTCCTTATGTTTGCATTTCATTTGGCACCATAGGGAAAACAAACATGCCTAGACAGTATATTAGGGACACCTAATTATATTAGGAAGCCTAATATATATATAGACAGAATAATAGGGACACCTAATATATATTAGGAAGCCAAGAGTTCCTTATGACAGAGAAACTAGCACCAATTCAGGGGCTTTTCAGCCTGGCATCAACTTGGGGGGGGGAAACAACAAGCCACAAACATTTGGCATGTTCAACAAACAAATCCTGCACAACCTTGATGCCCCACTGACTGTCCATTGGAATCAAAGGGCATTTTTCTACTGACCAATATACTGGCACTGTACTTCATCTACTTTGGTGGACTCCTTAATTCCTGTGAAGTGTCTCCAAACTCAGACTAGAGACCACATTTAAAGTCTGTCTACATTTACTTGCCTGCAAGAATATCCTGGAGGCTAGCTCTGGGATAACTCACCAATATTCTGGAGGGGAATGAAGAGCAGGACAGGACAGGGAGAGTGCCAAGTATAACCTCTGCCATACAGTGCACTTGAGCATGAATTTGTCTACCATGGGACTAGCTTTGCAGTGTTGCCAAATGTCAACACAGCATGTATGATTTCTGTCAGCAGACTACTGTTCTCAGCAGGTTTTAGCGGGAAAGAACTGGAGATCAGGATGTGCAGCAGCCTGAACTGCAAGATATCCTGCCCACAGCGTACGCTCAGATATGTTCTACACTTCACATGTGGGAGAGTCAAAGGGTTCCAACTCGGCAGACTACTGTGCTTAAACCTATGAATAATAGGAGATATATGATAATATGGAGGAAGAGGAGCAAATCAGGGTAGATTACATGTGAAATCAGTGGGACTCCTCAGATACCTCAGGCTGTATATATAGTGTTTACTGCATAAAGACCTGAATTTCCATAGGCTTTCCTTAATAGCTTTTTTCCTAGACTTTTTGACACAATTATTATCTATTAACTTATCACTGGTTATGCATTTTTTTTTTACTTCTATTCTCTTTTTCCACTGTAAAAATAAAATGGTATAAAACCTACAAATACACTGCACACATAGCAGAAAATTAAATACATAGCTAAATTTTTGCTACTATGCTTAGACTTTAGTGGTTCAACAAATTAAACTAAGCTTTCTTCAATAGTTTTTAGCAATTAGGAAAATTTAGAGTACAGAATAAAATTAAACCTTATCATAACCCTTTGATATTGTTATTTGTCATTGAAGTGTTTCATGTTTATGAACACTAGATGTCCAATGAGAGGTTCTGAAGGGGAAAAAAATACTTCCACCAACTCACCTAAACCCAAACAAAACCAGGAAAATGCAAGCATCAGCATCCTTGCATTGCTTTAATTGCATTGTTTGGTCCTCTCTTGATCTCAGCAGTGCTGTATCCTGTTTTACAACACATCATTCCCATCATTCATTGCTGATCTTATTCATTTATCAAATGTCACTCTGTGCTCTTTCTCTAAAGACACATGGTTACAGGGGTGCTGGCAAGTAAACCAATATTCAGCTTCATCCTGTTAGTCATCATCCATCATCTTATGCTTAAAGTATCACAGCTATGCCAGAAGGGATAAAAAGTAGCAAACTTAATCAGGGGGATTACAAATTAGCATCTGAAGAAGAAAGGAATAGGCAGGCAGGTAGTTTAAGGACATCTAAGAATTGACAGGAACATTTTTAACAAGTTCTTAATCTGAAAAATATGTCCATGTCAGCAAGGTCTAATATACTCATACTATGTTTTCATCTTTCTAACATCCCACCAGACCCCCAAAGGAACAATATTATCACATTGTCGTAAATGCCATCGTTCATTTTTTATCATATTATCTACTGCCAATTTCTGTACTGCCTTCCCTTGACATGCTTATCTATCCCTAACAACATGCTTTTTCCTTTTGTATTTACTGAAGAACCCCATTAGCTTGTGATTTACTGACAATGGCTGTTCGGGGTTAGTCTTGGTTTCTCTTTGGGGAGGCAAGGGAGGTATATTTTATTTCACTTTGTGTTTCACGCCAAATTCTCAAATTCCAGCTTGCGCTGATCAGACTTGGGTGACTAAAAAGGCTTTGCTCCTACCACGTGATGAAGCCAATGGCCAAACTCTCGCTGACTTTCCAGGGAAGCAGCACTAACCCTTAGATTCTGCAGTTCTGTGTCAGTGGTTATCATCTATCATTGTGACACAGTCTGTCCCTTGTTCAGACTACTAGCTCTGGCCCTGTAATGTATTTGTACATGTTGCAGGATTACTTTAACTGTCTTTATTTTTCCCTGCTTCCAGATAACCAGTATCTCTTACCATACATGAGTGAGCCTTATTAGGTTAAGTGGAATTCCAATATGATTAACAGACCTTAGACCTGTTTCAGGGTCTTACTGCATACATTTGTGGGTTTTTTTCTCCACCTTTTGTCCCATTCTTTTCTCCATACTGTAGAAAGCGTGATCCCACATGTTTAACAAAAAAGCATATGATTCAAAGTACCAGAGCTGTTTAACTGGTGGCACCTCTTTAAGTGCCTGCAAAAAAAAAGAAGGGAAAGCTAGCGACTGCTATCAATCCCATAGAGTCAGTTCAATTCTGGCCTCAGATATCTTGCATATCTCCCATCAATTTCAGCCTGGGCCACGTGTTTTTAAAAAAGTAGAATTCAACCCCTAACCTTTATCATTTAAACTTCTAGTGGTTTCTTACACAAGGGTATAGTTAAGGCTTCAGTCCTAAACTTCTTTTTTCCCCAGCATAAATGATCTCAGTTAAGACATCAAAAACTATTTGTGTACTTTACGTTCCCAGTGGTGCCTTTCAACTTAATGTATTGATTTCTTCACACTTATGAATAGCGCCTGATGTGCACAAACAATTTGCTGTTTTCCAAATGAGAACATCAAAAAGGATATTTCCATTCGACGATGCTGATGCATGCCCTCCGGATGGGATTTTTCAGTGTTAAACACAGCAGTGCCCGGGGAGGACGTGTAGCTGTGGTGGTACCCTGTTTTTTCTGTTTCCCATACTGCTGCCGTTTTCTCTGCGTGGAGCTAGCTGTGGATATTGTTGCATTGCCAGCACTACCCATCAGTTTGGCTTGCCTGGCAGCATCAATCGCAGCTTGCCAGGACAGAGCTGCCCCTGGAGTAGGAATATGCTCTGGGGCAAGCCCTGCAGCTGCATTGGCATTCATGTTGGCATGAGCTGGACGGGGACTCCCATAGTTGGAACCTGTTAAAGGAAGAAAAAAAAAAAAAAAAAAAGAAAAAACAAAACCACAGAAATTTGTGAAGATGTTTTTTTAAACAGCAGAAAAGAGAAATAGTGTTTTTAAAAATCTTAAGTATCAGTAAAATCAAGAGCTAAGGTTAAGGATAAGTGTAGGGTATCCACTTACTACCAGCTTGTTCCGCCAATTCAAGCTCTTCATTTTAAAGTAATACTACTATGCAATCGTTCACCTTGCAGCAGTCTCCCAACAAGACCCAATGGACACTGGGCTGTTAGACCTGCCTCCAATCAATTCAGTCTCCAGGGATTCAGAGAAAATAAACTGTCCTCCTTTTTCTTTTTTACCAACACGTTTTGCAAGTTGGGTTGTTTGAAAGCTCAAAAGGTGAGGCTAGTTCTCATCACTTTATCACACAGACGTGCAGCACTATGCAATTTAGTACATGGCAAAGCACCCAAATGAAATTCTCAAGTCCTATCATAAAAATCCTTATGTTTTCAAGATTACCTCAAGGTAAAGAGAAATTTTAACAATAAGCTTAATTCCCTCTGCAAACGGTACATATGTATAAGCCTAAGAACAGCCTGACTCGAAGGTATGCTGAAGCAGAAACTGGAACACAAAGGCAGGGTTCATGGCTTTTGTGCTTTATAGGATGCTGTGCAGATAGTTTAGGCCAACCGACATATATTTAGACACTGGAACTGATTCCTTATCCTGATAAGCTGATTTTAAGATAGATGAACTATTGAAATCAATGGAGTAATGCTTACTTAAAAAGCATGTATTAACAAGAATTTTGACCGAGCAGTCCCAAGTTTTGCATTTCTTTTAGCCAAAACTGAGGGAATATATGCTTTTGCCCAATCATAATAATACAATATATATGCCAGGTGACATGTGGCTGATATTTAGATCTTAGCAGTACCAAAAAGTGAAAGTCACACTTTCAAGCTAGTGCAATTGTTCCGCTGTTTCAGTAAAGACGGTTAAGTCACCCATGTCTCGTCAATGAGGCTTTTTCAGTGACTCAAATTAAAACCTCAATCACTTCAAAATGAGTGCATTTTCAAACTTCAAAACAGATTCCCTTACTCTTTGGAGTACGCTTCAATTGAGATACGTGAGAACTTGTGAAAGATTAACTGAGTTTCGCCACAGACACTTCATAGAAGAAAATATAAACCATGTTAGAAAAATGCAACATAAAATCTACACAAAGTCACAACAGCAAACTTTAATTAAGAAGAACGTCCTGTTTATATATGTCCTATATAAGATTTAAAAGACTACTTATCTTTTTTTGTGGACTTGCAAGTTTGCCTGTGGCCCATTTGTTGAGATACAGGTAAAAGGAAGATCAAATGGTCTACAGATCTTATTCCTTCACAGGCTATGAAATCAGAGTTCAGTTTCGAAACACTGCACACTCAAGAGATTGTGTTTCCCCTTACATCTGATCAGCAGAGCCTATGCTTCAGAAAAAGTGTACATACAAGAGGCAGATAGTAGAAACCCAGTAAAGGAGTTAGACCACCTTTTATTTCAAGGCAAGCTTGAAGTCTACTATTGACCGTGTTCCACTGTAGATTTATATAGAAATATGTTGTTACTACATAGATCAGATGGGCTCCTATAGACTGCTGGACAATGCAAACAGAAGACCAAGTGACACATTGTTTTCCTTAAAATATCGGATGAAAGACATTCAAAATCGGGGAACTAGCAAACTGTTCTTGACCAAAAATAATTACCCAAGATGCATATTTCATAGCTGGATGTGCAGTGCCAAGATACCATAGCAATGACTGCACTAGAAATGAATTAAAGCAGGTAAAAAAAAATACAATCACATTGACACACAGAGTGCAACAGGATATGCCTCTACCTAGAAAGCATGCAAGGTTTTTAAACTCATCTCACTGAATTGCAAGGAAGGACATGACAGAGTCAGATGTTATTTTATGTCAGGCATTGCCATAAGATTTCCAGGCTGTTATAGTTTCATTGCACAGCATGAAAGTGTAGAGCTTCTCTCTGCTCACTGAAAAACCTCCTAGTTGCAAACCAGCCAAAGGAAGCTGGTGAGTAATACGACTGATATGTGAAAGGGAAAGCTGAAAGAAACAAGAAATGGGAAATAGTTAATTCACATCCCTCAGATTTTGAAACTGAAGAAAAAGCGCTTTCAGAATCACACAAGCTAAGCAGATTTCCTCGATGAAGCAGGCAATCAACTGGCAGACAAACTTAGTTTTCTAAGACTAAGCAAATTGTACACAGCACTGCTCATGCGATACATATTTATTTTCAGACTAGTTCCAGCTGCAGTTTTTCTCTTTAACATCTATTTGACCTCCCTAGCCTGAGGCATGCTGGAAAGAAAAATAAATGGAAAATCACTCTAATTATTCTCCAACTCCAGCTCTTCTTTAATACTGACCTATTAGAGTGGATAAGAAAGATGTGTGTGTTTTCCAGTAAAAGCAAACTTGCTGATCCATCACCACTGTGGTCTTATCATGCTGACTAGACCATGTGGTCCTGAAAATAAACAGCTGCAGCATCTTAATGAAGACTTTTCTGCAATTTGGGAATGTGTCAAGCTTCTCTGTTTTTATTGCTTATTAGTTAGGTTTCACATGAGGATTCAAGTCTATGCATTTTGACTTTGATGTGCCAGCAAAGTTAAGGATACAGCTTCTGGTGGTTTCATTGCTTTTGCTTCTACCACAATCACCAGTCCCATAATAAAGTGCTTTGTCTCAAATTAATTTCAAAAGATGAGTCAGTAATGACAGATTTATATTAACAAATATTACAGATATTGATTACTGATAAGGATCTGTCTGTTTTATGAAGCTCAGAGACTGCAGACTCTATCTGTACTAAATAACTAATGGCAGTGACGAATGACTTGATCTACAGGGAGTTTATAGAAATAGCTTGAATTAAAGAGTGAAGCTCACACAGCTTCACAGAAAGTACATTCAAGAACGGAGCAAAATATTTTCAAAGACAGCATAGCCAGACTTTCAGGGAGAATGAAACTCTACCCTATCATCTAAATTCTTCGTGTTAATTCCTAGGAAGCAAGCAGAACACAATTCATATTGAACTTGTGAGGCACCATGCTAAATTTGACCTATAGCTCTCATTTCTCCCCCACCACAAAACTTTGCTGTAACCCGAGAGCTGCAGTTACTGGATTTGCTATTTTAATTTTGCAATGTAGCAGTTAAAATACTTCACTCTATTTCCCCCACTACAAATAAAGTTTCACGATACCTAAATCACTTTAATCATATTTGTTTACACTGTTATTAAGATGGAAGTTGACCAGAAGTGGGAAATGGAGATTCAGCCCCCTCCCAAATGCAATAACTCACTAAGCACTGTGATCCATAGCATCATCACCCTGCTAATCCGTACCACCCTTTAGCAAGAATTTGTACTGTTGACTATGTCCAGCTGGTACACAAAACTCTTCTCTCCCAAGCACTTCTGTGCTACAGATCATGAGTTTTAAGCATTTGAATAGTAATTAAACATAGAAGTCCATATAAGTGAATAAATTTGATTGTGAAGTCTTTAGGAGAGACTTTCATTTCTGCAAAAATGCAAAGTTGCAGAACTACTTCAAATGCAGCCACAACAGAAATACAGGTCTCAAAAGTGAGAGTTAAGTCAGAAAAGTAACAGATAAAGGTTGCTATACAACAGGAAACAAACCATGTTGCACAAAATACCTGACATCGTAAGCTTACAACTAAATCACCAAAAAGATCATCACCAAAATCACTATTAAAATATACAGTGATGACCATTAATACCTTTAGAAGTGCTATTTGCATTCTAATAACACGTCATGCCACCTATTAACTATTTCAAAAGCATCATTAAAAAAAATAAGCAGTGACCATTCTATATGAGAAGAGGGAAGTTAATGACACAATGGAATTGCAACTTTTGAGTTTCTTGACTTCATCTAGTTAGTCACGCATTTATTTTAGAGGAATTTGTCCTTAGATTAATTATTTAAATGAAAAGAGAGCTATGCCAATGTGGAGTGTCACCGTTCTTTTTTTCCATCATTTTAAAAACATCAGAATCCTAAAAATGCAAACCTTGAAACTGTGTTGCACAACTGTATTTGTCCCCAAAGCAGAAGAGAGATGGGTACAGTAAAATACAAAACTGGTTAAGTCATAATGTCTTAACTGAACACTGAAAGAAAGCAAACAGAAAGTAGGAAACTGGTCACACTACTAAGATCATGTGTAAGACCAATGCAAGCACACAGGAAAAAAGTTATACAAGACTGAAGCGAGAGGTGCCTAATGAGAAACACGAAGAATAACACCAAAAAAAAAGGTCAGTGTATGAGATCATCTGTTAACAAGAGGAAGAATGTGGAAAACATTGATCCATCAACCAATGGAAAAAGGAGAGCATTTGATAGATGATTGTAAGAAGGCTTAAGTGTTACATGACCTTTTTGCATCAATTTTAGTAAAGTAAAGCAGGTGACTAGCACAATTAATCCCCAAAGCAAAACAGGTATCATTTCCAACTGTAAAAGGGAAACAACAAGTTAGAAAGTACTTAGATAACATCCATCGTTTCAGCTATTTAGGTACCGCACCCTAGAATATCCTAGAATATTTAAAGAACATTCTGAAGTAATAGCAAAGCTGTTAGCTGCTGATTTGAACTCAAGGAAGACAGGAGACATCTCAGACAACCGAGAAAGAGTGAACAGAGTCCCCAGTTAAAGTGAGAAGGGGGGAAATTTAAATCCAGTCGAACTTCAGTCTCCAGAAAAAAATCTGGAATAAGTAAAATAAACAAGTGTCAGCAAGTACTTGGAGGACAAGGAGAAAAACAGCAGCAAACATGGATCTGTCATGAATATATTGTGCCAAAGAAAATTAATTCCTTTCAGAACTGGGTAACAGAATTTGCAGGCAGGATGGAAGCAGTAGGCGCCATGTCTCCT